GATGAAATATAGCAGTCAGGATGAACAATGTAAATATAAATGACATTCATATGAATTTAAATGGGAAAATGCATATATTTGAAAATGTATTTTAAATCACATTTTTGTCTGCACTACATCAGTGCAGGAAATGCATTAAAAAAAAAAGAAATATTTCAATAGCTATATATATATATATACAGTATCTCACAGATGGCTGTGTGTTGAGTTATTTTGAGGGGACAGCAAATTTACACTGTTATACAAGCTGTACACTCACTACTTTACATTGTAGCAAAGTGTCATTTCTTCAGTGTTGTCACATGAAAAGATATAATAAAATATTTACAAAAATGTGAGGGGTGTACTCACTTCTGTGAGATACTGTATATATGTAATATAATTTTGAAAAGTTAAAAAAAGCATATTATTCATAATTATGTAAAAACTGTAAAATTGTTTTAGATTGCACCAGAGAATAACTTCCAAGATTATTCCATGTCACTTGCCTAGATTTACAGCATAATATATTCACAATATTCATCTTTTAAAATGTAGGGGGCAAAATATGCCACCCCAGGTATGCATTATATGTCAAATGAACAGACAAAAAGCTAAATTACAAGGCAAACAGGTTGGAGTCATGGCCAAGTGGTTAGACATGTTTCATGAGCTGCATGTTCAAATCCAGCCTGGTCTCAAACCCTTTACTCCTCTTTCTTCCAAACGATTCAGAGCAACTGAAAAGAGTTTTTTCCCCCAGACATCTTGGGAATTGTTAATGCAGTTTTGTCTCTAAAATTATAGCTAAGTCAGAAACAATCACACACACAGCAACTGCCTCATCCACTCATGGTGTGCATTACAAGAGAAGCTGGTGAATTAACCAGCACTTCTGTTGAGCAGAATGCTGTATGTGGCTTTATCACCTTTATAAACTCTTACAGGGAGTCCCATTTGTTTTCATAAATGATCTCAGTGCAAAGCTGTCAGTCCAGCAATCAAAACTGGCATAAACAGTTTTGATTTGTTGCACTCAGCACACGATATCCAGACGGCGCTGCCTCGAAGGGGAGGATCCATCTGGAGTTTTTATGAACTTCATTGTGCGTGCAGCTGTGAGTGTAATTGCACGACGCAAACTTGCAACAAAATCTGCAAAACATTTGTCCTCTGATGATGCCTGAACATCTTTTTCTGCATTTAATGGAAGGATCAGCTTAAGGAAGTCTTTGCCTATAGGCTTACTTCATTATTCTCCTACATGCTAAAACAGATTTCTTTTAAAAATATTTTTAGTTCTCACATTTTGAACCCTTTACATCAAGTTTCCCCCAAATTACAATGTTGTTATTGATAACTAAAATTAAAATTAAAACTATTATAGTTTTCATTAATGAAATAATATATATATAAAATATAAATAGATGAAAAACTGATGAAACAGATGAAAATTTAAATAAAAATTATAAATGCTGCCTTGGCAACTACCGGAAGTTAAATACAGGTATGTTGAAACTGAAGCACTAAAAATACTAAAACTACATAAAAAAAATAAAAATAAAAATAAAAAATAAATCACAAAATCACATATCAAAACTACAAAAAAAAAAAAAAATTAAAATTAAAATTAAATAAAAATTAAAATACAAAACTAAAAGCGCATTTAAAATTTTATTTAAAAAATACTGTAATAGCAAATAATACTAAAATAACACCAATGAAGTCTATAATTCAAGCAGAAAACTGTCTATTAGCATCCTTAGCAACCTGTTAGCATTGCATTTCTTGCCACATGGCATTTCTACAGTAAAATTCCTATTGTAAACCCAATCAATGCTGTTTCCATGGACTAGACCCCTTTAAACTAGGGATGCACCAAATGTTCGGCAACCGAAATTATTCGGACGAAAATAGCAACAAAAGCTCTTTCGATGTTCGGCCGAATAAGCGAAAAGACCAAATAAATTGTACAACACATGTCGGCAGTGTGGAATCATTTAAAGCTGTCCGAGAAAGACGCAAAAATCATTACAAGCACAGACAGCGAGAGACTGTTTAGTACTGCATCGTATGTCTGCCATGAGAAGAGGAAGGGGTGGTTGTTGCTGGTTACTGACTGTATGATGACTGAAATCGCGAAATGCCCTTAAACAATTAAATAAACTGCAGAACGTTGTGTTTTCTAATACATGAACGAATTGCATGTATTCTGACAGCGCTGCATGAGCTTGCGGAGCCAGGGTTCAAAGTCCAAAGTGCGAGGAAAATCTGCGCTGAAATAGTGTTATTCGTCAGTTGCTTAGTAACATTTTTATGAATTGAATTTTATGAAAGCATGTGACAATGCGACACGTGCAACAAACGTCTTCCCAAATTCGTAATGAGAATCATTTATAAATCTACTGTTGTCAACAAAAAGAAGCACTGACGTCTGCGGGTTTCTGCCAAAATAAAACCTGAGAAAAAGCAAGAACTCCATCAACATTAATAAATGTTATTATTGTAATTTTACTGTTGTACTGTAAAATAAAATAAAAAAACAATAATAAGGATAATAATAATTACAACAGCTCTATTATTACATTTATTATAGCATTCAGTGTTCAGACTTGGATCTGTAATATTTTCTAATGTTTTAAAAGAAGTCTCTTCTGCTCAGCAAGGCTGCATTTATTTGTACAGTAAAAAATGCATGCCTGATTCAAGAAGGGGGTCTCAAAAATGGCCAAAAAATATTATTTTACAAACTTATTAATTTTAAGTTAAATTGTGTTTTATTGGTATAATGTCTGCTAGAATGTTAAAAAATGTTCAGTGTTAAGTAAATATTTTTAAAGCACATTTTGGCTATTTAATTTATGCAATGGTGAAAAAAAAAAGTGGCAAAATGGGGGAAAAAATGCGAAAAACCGTGTTCGGTATTCGGCCCAGTGTTTCATTTTGTTCGGCTTCGGCTAAGAATTTTCATTTCGGTGCATCCCTACTTTAAACTTTCATTAAATAACTCATCAGCACCATAAATGATATTAGTTGAGAACCTTTGCTAATTGTGGTGTGTGAGGCCATGGAAGCTCCTAGATATTCAAAACAAGGAGTCTCTTGAAATTCAAGTCTCTCGACCTAGATCCAAAATCATTACAAGCACTTATTTTGAGCAATAACGAGCTCTACATTGGTCCACATTCTCCCAAATAACAAGTTAAAGCCCAAATATTACGCTCCAGGGCACCAAGATGAAATGAGCTACCAAGGATGAAATCAAATAAATGTCTTGTTGATTTCTCATTAAAGCATGTTGAGTGTCTGCTTAGGGTCTATTCAACTTCAACCTTCCGAGTTAGCTCATTTTCTATCATTTTCTGGGGATGTTTTAGTGGCGAATTGGTAACTATAATATAATAACTTTGCAAAACTATGGGCAAACAAAGTAGCCAAAATGTCCTTAAAGTGATAGTTCACCCTAAAAAAAAACGAAAAAAAAAAAATTTGCTCACCCTCAAGTTGTTCCAAGCCTGTATATGCATACAGGCTTGGAACAACTTGAGGGTGAGTAAATTTTTTTTTTTTTTTTGTCTGCTCAACATAAAATAACCGATTTTGAAGAATCGGGGTATCCAATCAGTTGCTGGTAGCCATTGATTTCCATAAAGAAAAAAATACTAGGGACCAGAAACTGTTTGCTTACCCACATTCTTCAAAATAACTTCTTCTGTGTTTAGCAGAAGAGAGAAATTCAGGTTTGGAACAACTTAAGGGTGAGTAACAGATGACAGATTTTTCATTTTTTTGTTGAACTATCCCATTAATGGCCTTTGTTTTAGTTAAATACAGCTCAGGCTTGTACTAATGACCTATTTGTCTTATTTGAAGGCCCATGATATTAAACACTGGTTGTAAGCATTGCTAATGAATTAAGCAGGCAGGGCTTTCTGAGGCAATGCCAAAACACTTACAGCTGTTGGGAACTTTATAGGGTATATAAGTCATCACATAGCTTGGCAAAGAAAGAGAGAACATGAAAGAACGAGAAAAAGCTGATACATACATTTTGTAAAAAAAAAAAAAAAAAAAACTGTCATTGTTTACTCTCCCTCATGTCATGGAAAAGTATGGCCAAAATATTATTTAAGTATGTTGATTTCTCTTCTTACTCTGACATACTTTTCCACAACTTTTTGTATACAAGTTTTAACATTGACAACATCACTGACAAATAATTGGAAAATTAAATAAATGTCTTTTATTATTCTAGTAATATATTATTCTGGTAACATTCAAATATTCAAGTAACATTTTTATTTGTTTTCTGTAGAACTGTTGTAGCTTTCACTAATACTTAACCCATAAAATAAACCTATAATAAATAATAAACAAACAAATAAATAATAAAGAAAGGGGAAAAAAATGTAAATTATAACGTGTAAAAATTATTTAGAAAACAATAATTTCCTTTTTTGCACAATTGTTGGACCTCACATTGATGCTTAAAACATAATCATTAAAAATAAATAAATTATTAAGAAAACAAAGGCAAAGGCAGCTTTTAATAAAAAAAAAAACATTTAATGTGTGATTGGCATTATTATTATTATTATTATTATTAATTTTACGTTACATTATACGATTATTTAGAATACAAGAATTAAAAATGCTTAAAACTTAGACAAGCAAACAAATAAATAACAACAACAAAAAAATACCAGATGGAGCCAATGGGTTTTTAATAATTTAAAAATTGAATCATTTTAATCTGTGATTTAATCTGGCCATCCATTCATAGGCTACATCATCCCAGAGACATAGATGGATGGATATTATTTAGTAAACTAATATGTTGGAGAAAAATACCATTTATATGGAGTTTCTTGACTATTTTTTTCATAACTGAAAATTCAAGGGACAGGTTGGTCACCATATTTCGATGATGACCCTTTACATAACATGGGGGTGAGTAAATATCTCTGAAAGCACATTTCCAAGAACTTCCCTCGTGTGTAACCCAAAAGCATGTGCTCTTACCTGAGCGCCTCGGTCCACTTCAGCTCGAGCTCCAGGGCCATCTTATCCATTTTGAGCTTCTCTTCCCCTTTGGTAGCGATGAGTTTGGCATCATGCTCTTGTTTCTTAGACTCCATCTCTCCCTGAGGACAAGAACGAGAGCGAACATTAGCTCTGATGAGCCATTAAGCACACGACCCGTGATTGTGAGGTCTAACACGCGGCACTCAGGATGAGAGGGAGGGCTCTTCTTCACAGCTATCAATCAAACAGGGGCCAGGAGATGGACATCCATTTTCATTTCTCCACTCACTCATTTCTGCCCTCACGCACACACAGGTCTGATTCATTATGCATGGTCACTCGGAGAAACTGTGCTTCAGGTCAAGGACACAGGAAGAGGCCTCTCTAATGAAGTGTCTTTTTCACAAAGGGGCCAAAACTGCAGGTGGGTGTAATTCAAAAGAGCACCTATAACTCGTTTCATAATGATAAACTCATTGCAGGTGTTTTTAGAAGCTATTCAGGGAAACTGAGGGCAAATACAGTATATATAAAAAAAAAATCACCCACATCAACTTTAATGATAAAAATGTCTGGCAGGAGCAGCTGAGTTATGTGACTTTGAAGTATGAAGTCTCATTCTCATTATTTTTTGGAGTAATTGCTTTTGGTAATAGACCTGAAGGGCTGTTAGGAGGTTGCTAGTCTCTCTGAGTCTTGCTCGCGTGGCATCCAGCTCTTCTAGAAGCTTCTTCTGGGCGTCCTTCAGATTGGAGATGTGTCCCTCAGCAGAACTTAGTCCCTGCTCTCCCTGCTTCGTCAGCTCCTGGAGTCGATTCACCTGAGGAACAGGAGAAGTTACTCACTTTTGAGCAGATGCTTGTTCTCAGTGTTGAGTTAAAGGACACTGTAAGAATGAGGCACTTTATTACAAAATAAAATAAAATAAAATAAAGTAAAATAAAATAAAATAAAATAAAATATTTTCAGTATTGTAATTAAAACTATAAGTAACAAGAACACAAGCATTAAATTACTTATATAATTAATATATATTTATATAATTAATTACTAACAACAATAAATCTACTCAATCTCTATAGCGCTCTTACAATGATAAATAAAATATAAAATAAAATAACATAACATAACAAATGATTTTAGTATTATTTATTTAAAAACATATAACAAATATTTGGAATACAACTCTTAAATTCTTTATATTATATAATTATTATAATCATACATTTTTTAATTGTACCTTGTGCTAATTATTAACCCAGTAAAACAAAATTGCAAATAAATAAATAAAAATAACAGTACATTTCATACCCTAGTGAGCTACGTAAGCAGCTACTCAACTGAAAAAAAACCTTAAACCAAGTATTTTTCAGGTCTTAGTGGGCCTGTTGGCTGGTTTTAGAGGGGTTTTGGATACTTTTTAGCTGATTGCCAAGCTAAAACAGCCAAAGACCAGCCCAGGCCAGCTAGGAAACCAGCAAATCAGCAGGATATCTTCAAAAGGCAGCATCCTAACCTAAATATAACCTCTTACGTGACTGAGATTTCATGATTCAGTCTCTCAAATGCTCAAAGTTCATTCCAATAAAGAATGTTCATAAAATGCGGAACAGCCTTTAAGTGAGGAGCATGGCTAAATATGTATCCTAGGGATATAGTTGGTTTCTAGATGATCCAAATTGGTCGTCATCTTTGACCAGCAACAAACCAGCTACCAGCTGGACTGGTTTTTGGAACATGCACGATGATCAATCAGCCAATGACCAGTTTAGACTAGCTAAAACCACAGCTACCATATTTCAAAACAGATACCATCTTAAGATGGATTTTCCAGCAATTTCAGAGCTTCATTTCCATTTATGCTAAGCAAATTGTGATGTGCACATTAAGCATGACTCAAAAAGTGAATGAAGCCTTGCTAAATTGAATGATAGGGTAATAATCAGTGATGCTGCTTCTCTTCAGGGGTCTCCTTGGCCCATTTGCAGCTGTGGTTAAGGTACATGGGACTCGGCCAGATTTGTGTTCCAGAAGCCCATTAAAACACATTGAGACTAATGAGATGATAAACACATGCAACTGAAATTAATCACTCCTCCCTTTGCTTCCATGCCTTCCTTTCTACCTGCTAAATCACTTTCACAGAGACAAAAAAAAAAAGGTTGTACCTCACTGTTGGCCATGTTGAGTTTGGCTGCGAGCTCCTCTCGCAGACTGTCCAGTTCCTCTCGTAAAAGGCTCTTCTGTTCCTCTAGAGAGCTACGTTCCTTCTTGAACCGTTCCTCCATTTCCTATAAATCCAACAGAAGATGCTGATTACAAATGACGACAGCTTATAAATATGAGAAACAATTTACGTTATTGGAAATAAGACAACCGTGTGTAGGGATTGCGTCGTTTATGTTATCGTTCATCAAAAAGTGAAAATCCAATCATTTACTACTAATCCTCACGTTGATCCAAATCCATAGAGGAAAGAACCCCATGGGTTTAAAAAAACATGAGGGAGAATAAATGTGACCCTGGACATAATTTTGACCCATACAATGTATTTTTGGCTATTCCTATAAATATACCCAAGCGACTTAAGACTGGTTTTGTGGTCCAGGGTCACAAATAACGACAGAAGTTTCATTACTGGATGAACTATTCCTTTAATCATGATAGAAATCTTTTTTAGGCTGTGGCATTTTGAAGGCATCACTGTCTGGGAACTTAATTTCAAACATGTCAGGGTAGTGCCTTGGAAAATCCACTTAATATCTGTCTCAGGAAGCAGGAAAAAATAAGACGACAAGATTTGCAATGCAAAAACAAGGCATGGGAAGAACTTAATAGCTATATTTTATTCATCATAAGATTCTTGAGCTTTACTGAGCTCTTCTGGAATATTATAATAAGAAACTAATCATAGCCATCCTGTGACATTTACAGAATGAAATGCAGTTTTTCATTGTGTCCTGTCTTATCATAGCACTTGCAAGGTAGTAATAATTTCATATTCCTCCCATATTCTGGTTATATATCTTGTTATAACTCTAATAATTAAGATTCGGCAATTCATTCAAATTGAACTGCTTACAGAATCTGTTTAAATTTTTGTAGATCATTTCTGTCTTAGTTCATGTTGGCTTTTCACAAACAACTTCAGACTAAATTTAGAATATCTCACATTAACTCAGAATGTTTCAGCTGTATTTTTCTTATGTCTGTCTTTCTATAAAAAAAGGCATGAAAGAAATATACATTACAGTTCAAATATTTATAATCATTATCAATGGTGAAAACAGATAGATATCATTGATGCATGATAAGATATGTCTTAAAACAACAGCAAGCATGAATCAAATTGGTAACATAAAAGTGGAGAGCGATAGATGCTGACGAATTAAAGATGAAAGAGATGAGATCATCTCTTCCTCTTATCTTATAAAAGCAGCGGCAAGCTCCTTGCCCATGTTGATTAAAGTGAAGTCCACATCGAATCCAATCCACGTCACATATTCATACACACACCACCTAAAGGAACACGCTGTGAAAAGCCTGTGCGTTTGTGGGCGCATGGGCCTTGAGGAGAAAGAGGCCTTAAGTAAGCCTGTTTAAAAAATTGATGGTTAGCACAGACGAACAAATGGGCCGTGTGCTCAGTATAGCCGCCATGTGTGCAGAATTCACTCTATCCCTAATTGAAGCCACACAAATATACAAATGGCACCTCTTGAGTGTCTCACTTGTGCCTTGGTGACACAAGACGTGCGTTATGGTGAAAATGGATCCATGCTGTGATCCATGTCAAATAAAATAAAATCCTCCCAGAAAATATAAAATGCATGCTCGCCTACAGCGGCTCTACTCTGTGGAGGTTCCCAAAATAAAGGTTCCTCTAATGCTCTGAGGGTCTGTCATCAGAGGAGTGAGTCACCAAACCCACTTTGGACACACAGTAGATACCGAACGCGCTCTGGAAAAGAAAGATAAAGAAAGAGAGAGTGGAAGGGCCCTAGGCTTCATCTAAAATAGGACGTCAGCGCAGTCGTCACGCTGCTTCTGTACAAGGCAGTGAGTCAGTGGCACACTCTAACAGAGGCCACTCTCATTGATTATTCATCCACGCCTCAATTTTTCAAACTGCATTTCCATTTCTGAGAGAGGCGGGCGCTACGGTGGGGGTGTGATAAGCCCAAAACGGCCACGCTGCAATGTGATAAACCGGGGATGTCCACCGGCACAAAGGTTTGCTGAAGGGTCGTACGGGTTTGACAGCAGGTAATAAAGGTGAAGCAGGCCGGCTTCGGGCAGGTTTAATCTCTGTAAGCGTGGAGAGGAAGTGGAAACTCACTGCTCAGCTTGTTAAGGATGGAATACACGACTTTTAAAATCTGAAAAGATTTTACAACAAGGCATTATACACTTGCCGACTTTGTAAATAATTACAGAGGAAAAACTGGGCAACAACTAGACGAAAGGAACACACACTACCAGACCTTCAAGTCAGTCCAAACTAGTGTTGTCAAAAGTAGCGACCGCAATAAGCACCGTCTGTCAGCGGATCACTAATGTATCTGCACATAGACGGATCCGCTGACAGATGCCTGCTTTCAAACGCTCCCGTGAGCTTCTGTGTGAGCGCTCGGTGAAGAGCATGAAACGATGATCATTGTAGCCAATCACTGTCATATCTGTTGAGCGCGTGAACACTATGGCCAATCAGCGATGTTTAAGAATCCGCTCAACAGTGCTCAAATGTTAGCGGGAAATGGACGTTTTTGAAAAATACAGTACCGACTGGTATCGTGGCCATTACGTTTGACAACAGTAGTTCGAACACAACAAACTCATGCGGAAACATGTGCCTTGTTGTAAGAAGACACATGACAAATGAAAACAATGTGTGTTCTAAAATCAGTTTAAAAAAATAATGGATGGAATCATAGTTGTGTGTGTATATATATATATATATATATATATACTGTATATACGGCATTAAACTGATTTCATAAAAAAATCGCATAGTGTGTATGATGGTCGCAGACTGTTTTTAGCTTTATATAAATTAAGATCATTTTACACTTGTACATTTATAAATGTATACATTTTTAAATATTATTTTTTGCATAAATAATTTTTATTTAATTTGCATATTATTGCACATTATTTATACATACACCACCAATCAACAGGATGGGATCAGTAAGTTTTTGTTTGTTTTTTTGAAGAAAAAATACCCTTGAAACAAGGGACCTTTCTGATCTAATCAAAATAAAAAACAAAATAAAATAAAATAAAACTATTTTTATTCAGCAAGTACACATTAAATTGATCAAAAGTGACTTTTACATTGTTACACAAGATTTCTATTTCAATTTTTATTTTTTTATTTTTACTTTCTGTTCATTAAAGAATCCTGGGAAAAAAAAAAAACATGTATCGTGGTTTCCAAAAATATGTTAAGAAGCACAACAGTTTTAAACATTGGTAATAATAAATGTTTCTGCAATTCAGCACATTACAATGATCCTGAGTAATGAGTAATGATGCTGAAAAATTAGCTTTGCGATCACAGGAATACATTTTGAAATGTTAAAAACCTTCTAAAATCCAAATATCCAAATATCCATAATATCCAAATAGTTACTTTAAACTGTAATATTTCATACTATTAGTTTTACTGTATTTTTTTATTAAATAAATGCAGCCTTGGTAAGCTCATAAGACTTAAAAAACATTAAAATGAAAAGATCTCACTGCCCCCGAGCTTTTGAACATTAGTGTTTAATTGTTTTTTTCCATTAAATCTTTTCTGCACAAAGAAAATAATACTTGAGAATGATCGTTATTTTAATTATAAATGAAACCTCAAAACTGCTTACATTCATAAATACCTAAACACTGAAAAATGATGTCATTTTTCATATGGCAAAACATTAAGAATGGGATAAAAATGTACAATCTAAACAGTACAGATGCTTCCTACATAAGTTCCAATAAGAATTTGGACAAAACCTCATTTATATTAACCAGCTAGATATATCACATTTGTAATGAGTCAGAAAACGCGTCTCCTTCTGCATGTCTCTCTCCAGGTACACTCTTAAAAATAAAGGTGCTTCAAAAGGTTCTTCAAGCGATGCTATAGAAGAACCATTTTTGGTTCCACAAAGAACCATTCAGTCAAAGGTTTTTATAATCTGAAGAACCTTCTTTCATCACAAAGAACCTTTTGTGAAACAGAAAGGTTCTTCAGCTGTTAAAAGATCTTTATAGAACCATTTAGACAAAAAGGTTCTTCTATGGCATCGTGAAGCACCTTTATTTTTAAGAGTGTATACTCCAGATCTGCTTGGCATGAGTCAACATCCTCGCTAGACCTTGGCTTCAGTGACCTGAAAATGAACGCACACCCTGGGAACACCATAACTGCGGGCAGAGAAATAACCCACCGCTGCTCTGCGACGTTCAGCTAGAATTACAAAAAGATGAAGTTGTGAAGCGTTTGGATGTGGATGTGCCAGGTTGCTGGCAGCTGCCTATTTTGGGGGAGGGTGACAGATTGCGCTCCGACTGAGTCAATCCCAGGCAGCTTTGTATGCTTTTATTTCATATGCTATCAGCTAGCGGAATCAAAACAGACGGTTTAGTCATGACGTTTGCCATTCACCAGCCTGTCTCCACTGATGAGGGAAATAACAGATATGACTTTCATTTTTAAATCAATAAAGAGTGAGTGTGTCCTGTCTGGGACACCTTGAGCAGGACGGAGGTGAGAGCATGTGAGAAATGAATTTGCACTGCTGTGCCTAACGAAGCATGGATGCCAAGCTGCGTACCGCACTCTTCCTTTCTAACAAACCTCCTGGAGCTGAGGCACCTGCGCTTCTCCTTTTTCACTGTCTGTAGGTTTAGCGTTTTTTCTCACTCACATACACATCGTTATGATTCAAATCCAAAGTGTTTTATTGCCTGATTGCATTGGAGAATCTTTTAAAGATTCGCATGTGACTTTCATTCTCTAGTTCTTTAGAAAATCAGCTGGTGCTTTCAGAGGCATCATGCACCTGTTTTTTTTGTTTGAACTGGCAGTTCTGGTTCACTTGGTGCACCAGGCAAGATAAGACATGACAAACGGGAGGAAAAAAAAAACTTTTTAACAACTTAGTAGTTATTTATTTAAGTGTAAGATATGTTAAGCTAGTGGTGCAGCTGACATTTAAGACGTGCAAAGAGGACCCGCATGGATAGGATAGTGAAATAAAACTTTAAAAGGTAGGGAAATGCACTTCCCTCTTCTTTGTTGTTGATGTCCAATTAAACTAGCATTTCATATTTTGATGTATCAAGTTTTTTGCTGCAAATTCATGTGTTTACAAAATCAAAGAAAAAATGAATGAAATAAATAAATCTGAAAGTGTAAACCAGTTTACCCAACGTTATTTTATTTTATGTAATATTTCCATATTTATTAATATTTTGAATCATCTTTTATCGTTATGGTTTAATTTAATTTTAATTTTAAATATTTGCATCTAATATTTATATTTTATTTAATCTTTCTTTCAATTACCAAAAACAATTTTTAATGGTTTTAATTAACAACACTGAAATTAAATGAATGAATGAATCTAAAAAATAACCTGTAAAAATAACCTGTTTTCAGTTTCAATATATTTTAAAAAGTAATTTGTCAAATCAAGTGTCACATGATCCTTCAGAAATCATTCTAATATACTGATTTGCTGCTCAAGAAACATTTATTATCATTAATGTTGATAACAGTGCTTAACATTTTTTCAGGATTCTTTGATTCTTTCTTTGAACAAAGAAGAACAGCATTTATTTGATACAGAAATTATAAATGCCTTTACTGTCACTTTTGATCAATTTAATGCGTCTTTGCTGAAAAGTAGTCATTTCTTTCAATAAATAAATAAACAAATAAATAATACTGACCCCAAACCCTTGAACAGTAGTGTTCATGTCATATATCTGACCTTAATGACTTACTACTTTTAAAAAAAAAAAAAAAAAAAATGCCAGCTGCTAATTTATTCAACAAAGGTAATGGTTTTTAAGTGGTTTTTTGCATTTTGGTTTCATCAAAAGATCTTTTTGGATGGAGAAGTAAGAGTTTTGAAAGTTTTCATGGGGAATTTATATATCATTTAATATCCTTTAGATAAATACTTTTCATTCCATGTTATTTAAAAAATAATATCAGTGTAGACCAGTATTATGAAGGCCTTTTCACTTTCACATAGATGACGCAAAGCGAAAGTATGTCTGAGTATGGTTTGTGAAAAGAGCACAAACAGGCATCAATAACGGACACTGTCTCTTGTTCAGAAATGTTATGAATCCAATCTAAAAGTATAACAGTGAAAGCTTAACCTACTCTAGCCAGTGCTAGTTTAGTATTATTCATATAATATTATAGTATTTATTAATATTTTAGAATTAGCTTAATTAGAATTGCCATATTTTCAGTTTCCATATTCATTTTAGTTTAAGTTTTAGTAATTTTGTCATGTGCTTTTGTCATTTTTTTATAAATATTTCTATTTAGCTTTTATTATATTATATTTATTATAAATTATTGTTATTATTATTATTATTATTAATGTATTATTGTTATATATTAATTATTTAATTATGTTTAATTTTAATTGTTAATTTAGTATTTCAACTTAAATTTATTTACATTTATTTTTTACAGTTCATTACCAAGGAAACATTTCAAATTTTCTAAAAAAAAAATAACGTTTGGGGTTTTCATATAATATTCATATTTTATTTTATTTTATTTCAGCTTTATTTCAATTTCTAATAAGAACTATTTTAAAAGTTTTAGTCAACAATTAACAACACTAGAATGAGTGAATGAATGAATAAATGAATAAATGAATAAATAAATAATGTATAAAACATACACCTTTGCATCACAGCATCTACAGCAACAATATTTTGTTTCTACTATCATTATGTCAGTACCTAATTATCATCGCAACAGACAGATTATTGTGTGCTTGTAAATAAATACTAATAAGGAAACGATGGATGGTTTTCAAGCGAAAGTCAAGTAAAAGACCACCTCTTAAACCAGAAAAGGTGAACATGCTGGTATTCTTGTGGGTGAAAAAACATGCAAGCACTGTCACCGTTAGTTTTACTTTCATTTTATAGTTTGTTTTCATTTTTGAAAAACCTATCTTTGCTGTTTACCTTAAGCTATGGAGGCTCTCTTTTATTTATTTATTTATTTGATTCCTCAGTGTTTGCTAAACGTTCTGTAATTTATTAGTCGGTATATAATACAGCATGTGGTGTGTGCCATGCCTCATCTTATTCGTTTTTGTTAATAAACGTTTTGTAAGCTAATTTGTCATTGTATCTTACTGATTTATTGTTGTTGTGCTTTTTGATTAAGAATAACAATGAATCCATCTTTTGTTTTAGTCTTAAAAAAAATGAAAGGTGTGTAGATGTATGTAAGCAAAACAGTGACAACAAGATCGCGAATTCGAAAGTGAAAGCATCCGAAGCTCGCGGCTTAACACAGCAAAAGAGAATCTCCCATTCACAAAATTCAAATCACAAATAATACTACTGATGATAAAGAACGGGTTGAATGTTAACAACTTTCGTTTCCATATAACTATAAACTATGATAAAAGTTCATCAGCATGCATTGAATAAGCCATGTTGTAGAAGTAAGTTCCCCTCAGACATACATTCATATAAACCCCTACCCCTAACTGAATCACGATTTGTTTAGCATCTCAACCGATTTGAATCGTCACATATTTAAATCGATTTTCAACCGGCTCGCGGTTAATCGTTACATCCCTACTAATAAATGTGTTTTTTTTTAAACTTGTACATTTTAAATCTGGTTTGTCAAATAATTATGTCCTCCAACCCTGAACCTGTAACGTCTCGGTTACGTATGTAACCCTCGTTCCCTGAAGGAGGGAACGGAGACGTCACGTCGGATGACCGACGAATTGGGATCTCGCTTAGAGGGACCAATCTACTTCGAGTGTAAACTAAACGAGCCAATGCACATTGGCACTGTGATCAGCAGCAGCTGGATGCAATAATCGCATGCCAATCTGCATTGGCTCGTTTAGTTTACACTCGAAGTAGATTGGTCCCTCTAAGCGAGATCCCAATTCGTCGGTCATCCGACGTGACGTCGAGAGTGACCGACTGAAAGGGAACAATTGTTCTCTCTGATCTTTCTCTTGCGCTCAAAGGTACTTCTTGTTCTTTCTCAAGGTGACACCTCCTGACTGCCGCCAGACAGCGAGCTACTCTTCAGTCTGAAGCTAACGAGTGAGGCGCAGTCATGCTGATATCTCAACAGGACAGCTCTGGGAGTCTTTAGAAAGTTGTATGTGGGCCCAGGCTGACAGCCAGTGGGTGTTGTGACAGAGTTCACTCACGGACAGGAGTCGGTTCCTCTCTTTCTCGGAGACGCTCTGGGTGTTTTCTAGAACGGCCCGGTGCTTCCTGGAGAGCTCGTCCAGCGCCCGGCTGTGGGAATCCTTAAAGTGAGCAGTGTCCTCTTCATATTTGGCACACAAGTTCATGAGCTCCTTCTCATAGATCTGCTTTTCCTCTCGAAGTGACTGTTGAGGGAAAAAAATCAAAGACAAATATATTTAAAAGATGGTCTGATGCTTATATATATTTACTTATATTGTATATAAATATATAAAAAAAAAGCTCTAAACACATAAATTTCATTATTACCCATCGGATGCATTTGTATTCATTTATTATCCCTTAAATCTAGATACAGTTTCTGATTATTTATTATTTCTATATTAAATATGCTATTTACTATATACATGACTTTTTACACAATTGCTCAAAAAATTATTATTTTTTTTAAATGTTTTTAAAAAATGTCTCTTATGCTCATCAAGGGTACATTTATTTGACCAACAAAAAAAATAAAAACAGTAATATTATGAATTATTATTACAATTTAAAATAACCTGTTTTCAGTTTCAATATATTTTAAAAAGTAATTTGTCAAATCAAGTGTCACATAATCCTTCAGAAATCATTCTAATATACTGATTTGCTGCTCAAGAAACATTTATTATCATTAATGTTCATAATTTTTTGGGAACCATGATACATTTTTTCAGGAATCTTTGATTCTTTCTTTGAACAAAGAAGAACAGCATTTATTTGATACAGAAATTATAAATGCCTTTACTGTCACTTTTGAATGCGTCTTTGCTGAAAAGTAGTCATTTCTTTTAATAAATAAATAAACAAATAAATAATACTGACCCCAAACCCTTGAACAGTAGTGTTCATGTCATATATCTGACCTTAATGACTACTACTTTTGAAAAAAAAAAATAAAAAAATTGCCAGCTACTAATTTATTCAACAAAGGTAATGATTTTTAAGTGGTTTTTGCATTTTGGTTTCAACAAAATATTTTTTGGATAGAGAAGTACGAGTTTTGAAAGTTTTCATGGGGAATTTATACATCATTTAATATCCTTTAGATAAATACTTTTCATTCCATGTTATTTAAAAAATAATATCAGTGTAGACCAGTATTATGAAGGTCTTTTCACTTTCACATAGATGACGCAAAGTGAAAGTATGTCTGAGTATGGTTTGTGAAAAGAGCACAAACAGGCATCAATAAGGGACACTGTCTCTTGTTCAGAAATGTTATGAATCCAATCTAAAAGTATAACAGTGAAAGCTGAAAGCCCACACTGACACTGTGAAGCAACTGCCCGCAAGTAAATAAACTTCCCATTATAGGACCAGCAGAAGTGTCGGCAGAGTGAATCACTCCACAATGGTTTCCCGCTCTATTTGGTGAGTGTTGTCATAGTAACACCTAACTCAAGGCTGTGCTGCTAAGAAACTGTGATGTGGGCGACAGAACGAAACGGAGAGAAAGCTTGATGAGACCTTTTCAAATGAGAATTATCCTGAAATCCACGCACAAGAGAGAACCAATAACACCATGGTACTTTATATATTCTACACACTACTTTTTTTGACAAGTTGGTTTTAGGGAATTGCTGAATTTAGGCTGGTTTCAGCTGAGCCCCTTCTGACGTGTTTATTAGGCTAATGTTCACAGAGGACACAGTCTTGTGTTTCCAAAACAGCTAAATGGAACGCAAGGAAAATAGATGACAGGAGTCTTCTGAAAAAAATAAAATAAAATAAATAAATAAATTTAGGCCTACATTTAAGCTTTATGTATTTGAATTGCAATTGGATTTTACACACTCTAAAAAATGCTGGGTTAAATACAACCCAGCGCTGGGTAAAATATGGACAAACCCAGCAATTGGGTTGTTTTGACCCAGCATTTGGGTTACTACCCAGAATGTTGGGTTAAACATTTAACCCAACTGTTGGTTGAAAACAACCTGTTATTTGTTTTTATTTCTCAATTATTTATTACAATTTTAAATATTTACGATTTTATTCATTTTTAGTAAGTGTTTTATTTTGGTTTGTTTTTATTTTAAAATTATTTATGTGAATTTTTCATGTTTTATAATTTATTTAATTTGTAGTTAGTGATAAAAGACAAAATAAAATAAAAACTAAACTAATAAAATAAAATCAAAAATAAAATACTTTTTAGTTAAATTAAATAAAAATAAATAATAAAAATAAATAGCATCATAAAGATCCAAAATTAAAATAAATATTTTAAAATCAAATAAAAAATGTGCACTAAAAGTGTTTTACTTTGTTTTAATTATTTTAATTAATAACAAATAATTTAATAAATTAATAATAAACAATGTAATCATTTAAAATAAAAACACTTACTAAAAACAGTTATATTCATAAGAATGTAAAATTAAAATAATAAAAAAAAATTTTTTTAACACATTAATAATGTTTTTATAATTTAATCATAAGAACCGTGAACATGCAAATGTTCAGTTCAGTTTATTTCTAAAGCACATTTAAAACAGCAACAAGGCATGTGTCAATAAATTACTGAAATATTAACTTGTTAATGAACTTCTGTGCTACTTTTTATTACATTATTTATATTTTTCAATCTTTATTATCAGCAAACTAATATGATTGTTACGTGTCCGGTCCATGAACTTCCGTCTGCTAGCCATCAGAGGTCACCCTTTCCATTTTCATTGTCGCTCGCACTCACACTGTTGCATATCACACCGCATTACATTTCCCACCGTTCATTGCACCCATTGCACACAGCACTGATTGCACACAGCACTGATTGCACACAGCACTGATTGCACACAGCTGTTTCATATCACTCACTCACTATTTAACACTCCATCTCACTCCTTCTAACAGCCGAGTATTGTTTAGCGCGTATCATTTTGATAGCTACTCTACTGAGCCCTCGTTAGCTTCCTAGCCTAGCCTAGCCTTGCCTTGTCTGTTTTCTCGGTTTCTGATCTTTGCCTGTTTTCCTGGATTTATCCCTTTAGTCTTGCCCTTTTGATTCTGTTCGCCGTTCGTTGACCTTCGCTAGCCCTAGGATTATTCTTGTGTCTTGCCCGCCATATACCTGTTTGCCATTGTTCGACCCTGCCTGTGTTTCTGACCTCCTCTCATGTTAATAAAGCTTGCATATGGAT